GTAACACAATTAGAAAGGAGCAAAACTAGAATCCAAATCCAGGTTGGTCTGATTCTGAAATCCATATTTTCCATTACTAGGAAATACTGTCTTCCAGCAGACCACTTTGGCTGAAATAAGGAACTGTACCAAGGAGGCACAAGTATTAAGGCAGAAAGGCAGGTAAGGCCCAGAAAGTGGCCTGAATGTTTGGATTTCATCCAATGTCCCTTCTTTTGGCAACAACCAGCAGGAACCATTGTTTGCTCAGGTACACAGATCTATTCAGCATACAGAGAAGGCCTGAATAGGGTAGATGACCCGTACAGAAAGGTACTTTGGAAAAGTTAATATGGCCAGGAAACCAATTTAAAGTTTACTCCAATGGAACAGATACAAAGAATGAAAATTGTAGACAAAGAATTCTCCCAAAACTGGAATTAGAGAAAGACAGGTGATAAAAACATTACAAAGAAAAATCTGGTAATAACTGGATGGTGGGAAGGAGGCAAGGATAATTCCATGTCTACAAAGGGGCTGCTAACAGAAATATGAAAAACACAAAAAGAATAAGAATGAATTTCGACATGCTGAAAATAAGGAACAGTGAGACATCTAAGTGTTCAACGAAAGCTGAAAAAAGCTAAAAGTTCAACAAAAAGTTGAACAGGACAGCAAAAAGGAGAGAGCCTGTGACATGCCAGCACAAACCTGCTTCTGTGAGAACAGGCTAGTTAACTCCACAACACTGGGAACCAAGTCCATGCTGTTCCCTGCTATGTCCCCATCACACCTCCCACAGAGCAGTGCTCTACACATCTTTTCTGAATAATTATGAGCCAATACAAATTTCTCCAGCATCCCGAGGATATCATGACTCCATCAAATATGCCTTGATGAAATCCATACCCACTATCTTTTATTATATTCTTGCAGATGCCATGCAATCCTAAGAAAGAAAGAAATGAAGTCAATGTGAGCTACTCACAGTGAACCAATCATAACCCTCCCAAAAGTACTGATCATGAACAACCTAGAAGGGTAGTTCAAAGACTCTGTCCTTGATGATGCCTCACTCGATTACTTTAAAATGTTTTGAGGACTAGAAAGTCTTCATTATGATCATTAAGTTATGGCTCAGGTACCTACACATAGATATTAATTCCCAAAAGCCTCCAAGAAGATCATAAGTTAAAAATCAGCACTGGCAAAGCTATGACTGCAAAGAGCCTATTATACTCTGCAGAATTTCAGAAATGATTGATAGCAGAGGTGAGTTTCGTTTTGACTCCCCAGTATCCATTCCCCCTTGTTCTGGAAACACAACAAACACTCTCACCCTACTCTCAGCTCAGTGGTTTGGGTAGGGCTGCCGAGCTGGGCATATGACCTAGTCTAAGTCAACTGGCACTTCTTTTCTTCCTGGTCACAAAGAATGGGTCAAGGACAGGCACGTAAGACCCAGGCCTAAGCCAGTCAGCCAATTTCATATCTCTGGCCATAGTGATTAATTTCAAGATGCCCATTTGGGTCAAGAAGAGTTAGGACCAGGACTTTATCAGACTATTAGAAAACAAACTTGTTCTTTATTGCTAACAGTAAGGATGCCATGGAACCTAGAGCTGCTATGGGGCACCATGTGGCACCAGTAAATGAAACTGATATAAATGGAAGCAAAGCCAAAAGGCAGAGATAGACTGGATCCTAATGCCACTGATCCAGCCAGCCCTTCTGTGAACTTTTCAGTCTCTGGGCCAATAAAATCTCATTTTTGCTTAAGCCAGGTTGAATCAGACTATATACTTGCACTGGAAAAATCCCTGCCCTAATCTAATTGCCCAAGTAGCCCTTACCTTGAAGATAAACTTGGGAAAGAATCCGACCCTCTATTTCATTTAGCAATCTATTTCTTTTGCTACATATATAATACAAGAATAATAGCCCATGGGAAATTTTTGCTTAGGAACTTATCATTGCAACTGAGGACACAAAAGCTTACTCTTTTCTAAGCTCTGATAATGTGAGCAAACAAGAAAGATAAACAGACAACGAAAGCTACACCAAGGACAGTCTGAGCTCTGATCAGCTAGTCCCAAACACTGTAAAGCTAGATTTATGCTTAAGCACTGAAGTTGCCACATTTTAAGTTGCTGATGCAAGTAGACATCCACATTACAGAGGGTGATGTTAGGAGACAACAAACAGCCGAGGCTGCCTACTCAAACATTTCTATAAACAACAGCAGCAAGCTTTGACCCCAGACTGTAGTTTCAAGAAACTGTGGGTATAATCCTCTATCCCTCTGCAACCCAGATTGCAAGTATCTGCAAAGAAAAATGCATGGGGGGAAAAAAGTCACTGTTACTACAAATACAGCATGAATAAATGCTATAAAGGAGAAAAAAAAAAATGAACAACCAGTTGTGGGGTATTTTTGGTGGACTTTTTTCTATTCAGAACCATATTCTAAATTTCTATTTTTAATATTCAGTATCTTTTCATTTGACACTTATATTTGACATATACTGTAGGTTAGGATATTCTGTTTATGTTCATTTTCTGTCTCATCAGCTACAGTGTGAGTCCCTTCAAATCAGGGCCTTATCTTTCCAGACCTAAAATAGTATCCGACACAAAGTAGATGTGTAAAAATATCTGCTGAAAATTACCAAAATATTAACTACTTGGCTAGTAATGAGTTTATCTTATAATGAATAATTCCGACTTCCTTGCTTAAAATTAATATATTACCATTTATTCGATAGCTCCTATGTGCCAAACAATGTGCTAAAAACCATACACAGGCCGAGTGTGGTGGCTCACGCCTATAATCCCAGCACTTTGGGAGGCCGAGGCAGGTGGATCATCTGAGGTCAAGAGTTCGAGATCAGCCTGACCAACATGGTGAAACCCCATCTCTATTAAAAATACAAAATTAGCTGGCCATGGTGGCACATGCCCATAATCCTAGCTACTTGGGAGGCTGAGGCAGGAGAATCGCTTGAACCCAGCAGGCGGAAGTTGCAGTGAGCTGAGATCGCACCATTGCACTCCAGCCTGGGTGACAGAGCGAAACTCTGTCTCAAAAAAAAAAATCATACATAAATGATTGACTCACTTATTTGGATTGAGATTATCCTAATCAGGAAGTGCAAACAAGTTAAAAGGAAAAATAATGCTTCTTCCTTACTCTTTTCACCGCTGTACTTGAATAGAACTAGAACAAATGCACGGAAGTTCAAAGTGATACACTTTAGCTCAACCCAAGGAAGATGTTCTAGAAGGAGCAGAGCTGTTCTAAAAGGAATGAGCTGCCTCTAGAGGAATTGGTTACTGGAGGAAACCAAGTAAAATTTCAATTAGAGATGATGCAAGCATTGAAGGAGCTGTTAACAGTATTTGGGAATTGGGACAGTATCCTGAGTTCCACCATTAAGCCTGCAAGTCTGGAGTAGCTGCATTAAGTTTGAGCAAAGTCAGTAGTTATAATTTCCCACCTTTTCTTATCTATAACCCTAGACTGTTCTCCAAGATACTCTGTATTCCCTTATTATCTCATTGCCTTGAAATGCTTGCAATCTTTCCCCTTGAAAATATGAAAGAGTTTTAAAATGCTGACATTCATCTGGCCTATTGATGCAGGACATGAAGGAAGTAGATCTGAATATATTTTTGGTGCCTAAACATCTAGCAAAGCCCAAGACTAGACAATACAGGGAAAGTTAAACTAGCAAAGTACATAATCCCTCTACTGTTATGAGTCCTTGACCCTCTCCCCTCCCACTCCATCATACTGACTTTATAGGCAATGGCATTGTATTGGAAGGGGCAGAAACTGAGTAAAGACTGCATAAAGTTGTGCTGGGGCTTCTTTGCAACCATCTAAGTCTCAGTCAAAAATATACATCTCTAAGATGGGTTTCAGGCATTATACTAAAAAATAATACTCTTAGCTTATTTTGCTTTCAGCTCTTTACCTGTTTCATAATGATAAAACTTCCCAAGCATCTGTTGGCCAGAAAACAGCATGTATTAAGACCCAGCAGTAGAGAAGGCAAAGTGGAGTTGGGAAACAGAGATACTCAGAGTGGCTGGAACTCAGACTATGAAGTGGGGAGTAGAAAGATGTGAAAATAGTAAGATAGCAGGGCCAAGATCAGGAAGAACCTCATTAAGTAGTGTTTACTTCAACCTAAGGGCAATAGTAAGTCACAGAAAGACTTTAAGGAGGGGAGAGAAGTGGCAGATTTGTGTTTTCAAAATCTTGTTTCAATTATTTTTAAATAACCAATAAAGAGGAAAGAGAAGATACAAGACATGGAGAGAAAGAACAGTTAAAAGGCCTTTCCAGGAATGCAGGCAGGAGGAGATGTCAGCTTAGACTGCAGTAGTAGCAGTGGGTTAGAGAGAAATGGACAGATTCACTAAATATGCAGTAGGTAAAATCATCAGGACTTAGCAATAGACCACATGTGGGGCATGAGAGAAAGAGGGGAGCCAAGGATGACCTGGAGACTTCTGGCATGGCCAGCTGGGTAGCTGGTGGTGCCATGTACTGAGATAAACACATGGTAGGTAGTCAAGGCTGAGGGGACCATGACTCAGTTTGGAACATCTCATGTTTGAGATGCACATGTGACATCCAAGTAGAGATGTCCAGAAAATAGTTTTCAGGTCTGAACTGGAGATATAAGTGCTAATTAGCATTAAAAATAATATGCTCATTAGCAAGCAGACCACAACTGAAACCACAGGAAATAATGATTCAGGAAAAATACATAATTCAGCCCACAAGGTAGGGCAACAATATGTGAGAAGTCAACAATATTATTTGTTTACACTTCACAGTTTTCAAAAGGCATCACATCCTAAACCAAGTAATACAGGTGTCGTGGAACGTAGGCAAAATACAAATTAATCCCTACAGGAAAAGCAACTCCCACTGACCCACACATAACAGGTGGATCTGAGATCTAACAACTGGTCATAACCTAACAACAACCTAACACCATAATACTCACCTGTGGACAAGGCCTCCTCCCGAACATCACCCTCACCAGGCTGAGGGATATTCCAGGATGTTTTGGGAAGTAAAGAAATTTCCTCTGGTGATTCTAGTCTCACCATATCCATGTGATTGCTCTGGAACTGATACCGAGGGATGAAACAGACTTTGCCTCGTTGGAAAATGTCCTTGATAATCTCTTCTGTCTCAATTTCATCTTGCATGCTCAGAAAGATGGAAATTCTTTTGGACTTTTGATACTCACTGTGGGCAATCACCTAAATGGGAAATTATGGCAATTATATTTTCCAAGACTATATTTAGTAACTCCCCTTAACAGTTCTTCCTTTCTCTCTCAGCCTTGTCCAATTTCTTTAAATATTAAAAAGAAAAAAAAGGGGGGTGGGGCAGAGTGATATAGTGGGTCAGACAGTATTGCATCCTGAAGCCTGACTTTTAGATTGGGACTCAGCACTTACCTGCTCCTTTTATCCCTTCCTGGTACACCCACTCTGGTAGGTGTGAAAACCCATTAAAAGGTCACTGTGGAGACAAGCTGTTTATCTAGAGAATTCCAGGCTTGATCCCCACCTACCCATTTTAGTAGTCTTCGGTCATTTCACATGCTTTCCCTAGAGTCTGCTTTATTTTATCTCTGAATCTTGGCTCCCACAAGCTTCTCCACTCCTTGGATTGTCAGGCTCTTCCCAAATTCTACCCATTTAAAGTCCAACGCAAGCCCTAATTTTTCCTACTTCTGGCGAACCCTTACTACATTTAGAGTTAATATATAACAATAATGTATTGTCATGAGTGGATCACTAATTGTTTCATGTGCCCTAAATGTGGTATCTCTAACCGGTCCATGAACTGAGCTCTCTGAGGCAGAGAACATGCCTTATAATTCTCTCTTAGCTCTGCCATCCCCATCCCATTTCCTAAAATTCACCTGTTCAAATGAATATCAAAATATTCACAATTATGGGGTGGGAGCAGATCCTGATGAAAGAAATCATTTTCAATTGAATCATCCATCAGGCAAGAGAAGGGAACTGAGCTTTGCTCATCATAGAAATGTCAACAATCTCAGGAACTTATCCAGACTCAGAAGTTAGTCCTTCACTCTCCCTTTTCCTTTTCTTTTTTTTTTTTTTTTTTTTTTTTTTTTTTTAATATATAGACAGGGTCTCCCTCCGTTCCCCAGGCTGGAGTGCAGTGGCACAATCTGCAACCTCTGCCTCTTAGGCTCAGGCAATCCTCCTGCCTCAGCCGCCAGAGTAGCTGGGACCACAGGTGCAACCACTATGTCTGGCTGATTTTTCGTATTTTTTTTCTGGAGACAGGGTTTCACCATGTTGCTCAGGCTGGTCTCAAACTTCTGAGCTCAACTGATCCACCCACCTGGACCTCCCAAAGTGCTGGGATTACAGGTGTGAGCCACTGCGCCTGGCCAGCTCTCTTTTTTTTCCCTTCCTTTTCTGTTCTTCCCTGTTTGCCAAACTAAAAAAAAAGAATACTTTTCTTATTCTTTATCAGACTTTTTAATACTTTTGTTATTATTATATAATTGTAAGCCATAGAAGTAGCTTATAAATATGACTAGCAAAAAAATACAGGAATAGAAAGTCAAGTTGTTACTAATAAAAAAGGAAACACAGAAATCAAGTAGATAGAGCACATCAAACCAGTCTAAGAAAGAAAGCTAACTCTTACATTCTGAAAATTTACAAAATTGTTTTGAGGCCTGAAATGCGCAAAGAAAGGAAATGTGAAACCTAGACCTGGGCAGGCCTGGGGCTTTGGGCATCCAACTACTATATGAGAAAGTTAAGTATCCTTTTTGCTCTCTTTACAACAGAATATAGAAGATCGAGAGTTGAATAAGCAGTAATAAACATCAGTTAACATTCAGTGTGAGACTGTGCATACATATTTATCTTCCTTCCTCAAATCCCATTAATGTGACGGTAAAGAAGCACAAAAAAGAAAATCCATTAGAGTACTGAGAACAAGGGAACAGAGACCTAATTTCTGTAAGACAAAGAGTGGATGGGACAGTATTTTGCTGACAAAACAGCAGCAGATCACAACACTCAGAGAATAAGGGTGCAGGTTAGGCAGAATCCATTCCTCCCTTGAAATCCCAAAGCAACTATAAAAGGCAGAGGAAATCCCCATTAGCTAAGACACCTTCATTCACAAATATGTACAGACAATAAAGGATCATCAAACATTTTGAAAAGTCAAAATACAAAATAGAAGGATGAAAAAAAAAAAAAACAGGAAGGGGAGAAAAAACGGACAAAGAGGAGAGATAATTTTTTGAAATTCTAATTAGTTTTCTCAGACAAACTCAAGAAGATAATTGCATTTCTAAAATAACAATAGACTGCTGGGGAGGAAGCAATCAGGGAATCATGAAATAATCAATGGAAACTAAAATTGTGATTAGCAAAATTAAAACAACTTAGGAGACAGCCTTGGAGTAGGGGAAAAGACAAAAATAGGAAAAATGAAAAAAATGTTAAGAAATACAGAAGATCAATCTATGATTTTTATTATCTGATTAACAAGAGTTCCAAAAAGGCACAAAGGAAAAAGAAATAATCAAAGAAGATATACTTGGCTCACACCTGTAATCCCAGCACTTTTGGAGGCGGAGGCGGGTAGATCATCTGAGGTCGGGAGTTCGAGGCCAGCCTGACCAACATGGTAAAACCCTGTCTCTACTAAAAATACAAAATTAGCCGGGCGTCGTGGCACATGCCTGTAGTCCCAGATACTTGAGAGGCTGAGGCAGAAGAATCCCTTGAACCCAGGAGGCAGAAATTGAGCCAAGATCACGCCATAACACTCAAGCCTGGGCAACAAGAGCAAAACTCTATCTCAAAAAAAAAAAAAAAAGTAAAAGAAAAACACTAGTCTCCATATTGAATGGGGGCCATGGGTGCTGAGCAGAACAAGGAAAATAATTTTAATTTTGAAATTCAAACTATCAATCTAGTATGAGGGTAAAACATTTCCTAATGTATATTTAAAAGTTTACCACCCCCATAGATACTTTCTCAAAAAAAATTATCTGAAGATATACTCTAATAAGATGAAAGGAAAAGAATCCAAGAGAGACAAAGATACTAGACTCAAAAAGCGGCCCTAACTCAGAAGTGGAGTAAGGAGGAACCCCAGGGCAATGGCAGTGCAATGGGCCGAAAGCAACCAGACCAGAAGAAGCAAGGGGCTGGAGTGTTTTCAAAAAGAGAGTGGATTTATTTTAACAGACGATGAAAAAGAATATATTGATAAGACAAACAGATATTCTTGATTTGTCAAAAAAAGAAAAATAAAGGCAATCAGAAGCTCCTGGAAAAATAGAAATATGCTCCAAATGGGAACAAAGTAAAACAGAAAATGATTTTGAGCAATTATGGAGGAAAAGAGAAAAGCTTTGGTACTAACACTTGAAGCATTACCTTCCTAGTTACACATATCTAGTGACATAAAGTCATGTCTTTTCTTACATATTCAATCATACAACTTGGTTCTGTGATGAATACCATCTATAGAACAAAAATACAGCTGGGCGCGGTGGCTCATACCTGTAATCCTGGCACTTTGGGAGGCCAAGGTGGGTGGATCACGAGGTCAAGAGGTTAAGACCATCCTGGCCAACATGGTGAAACCCTGTCTCTACTAAAAATACAAAAATTAGCTGGGCGTAGTGGTGCACGCCTGTAGTCCCAGCTACTCGGGAGGCTGAGCCAAGAGAATCACTTGAACCCGGGAGGCAGAGGTTGCAGTGAGCCAAGATTGTGCCACTGCACTCCAGCCTGGAGACAGAGCGAGAGTCCATCTAAAAAAAAGAAAAAAAAAAATACAAGGTATGTATTCAGTGCTTTACATATTTTTGTAAATACTGTTTACTGTAAATACTATTTACTGAAATCTCAAGTTTGGAAATCGGTCACAAATACTGCTGAGTAGACTCATTATAGTTACAGAGCAAAGTTTAAATATTACAAAACCTGGCCGGGTGTGGTGGCTCATGCCTGTAATCCCAGCACTTCGGGAGGCTGAGGCGGGTGGATGATGAGGTCAGGAGTTCAACATCAGCCTGGCCAAGATGGTGAAACCCTGTCTCTACTAAAAATACAAAAATTAGCCGAGCGTGGTGGTGGGCGTCTGTAATCCCAGCTACTCGGGAGGCTGAGGCACAGAACTCCCTGAACCCGAGAGGCAGAAGTTGCAGTGAGCCGAGATTGCGCCACTGCACTCCAGCCTGGGTGACAGAGTAAGACTCTGTCTCAAAAAATGAAAAATTACAAAACTTGACAACATAAGTATAACAATATAAATGTCAGAAACTGACAGAGGGAGTAGAAAACATAGTGAGTAAAGGGACACTAATTTCCTCATCTTATTAGTTAGAGAATCAAGATATGACATAAAGCTGAATTTCTTCACCATTTAAATTACTTCTCTGATAAATTTCTAAGTTATAAAAAGGTACAGTGACAATAAGAATAAATATGCTTTTCTAAATGAAAGACATCATTTAACACCTTTATTGAGCATTCACTATGGCAAAACACTACACAGTACACTGATGTTTCCAGAGATGATCCATTGGTTAGTCATGAAATCAATAGCAGGCTATAATTTTTAAATGAAATAGAATAGCAAATATTAAAGTTCGAGTCAGGCACAGGGGCTCACGCCTGTAATCCCAGCACTTTGAGAGCCAGAAGCGGGAAGATCATGAGGTCGAGTTCGAGACCACCCTGGCCAACATGGTGAAACCCCGTCTCTACTAAAAATGGAAAAATTAGCTGGGCATGGTGGCACCTGCCTGTAATCCCAGCTACTTGGGAGGCTGAGGCAGGAGAATCGCTTGAACGTGGGTGGCGGAGGTTGCAGTGAGCTGAGATCATGCCACCGCACTCCAGCCTGGGTGACAGAGCAAGACTCTGTCTTGAAAAAAAAAGAAAATATTACATTTCATTGTATGTGGTAAGAGCTGTAACATGTTCCTTGTATGTGTATATTTGTTTGTACAGAGTAAAATGTATTTATCACTGAGGGTCATGGGTCTGCTTTTTAATTTTTCTCTCTCCTCCTTTAATGCCAGCTCTCAGTTGTCATTCTATTGCTGTTAGTGACTCTGTATCTATGTAGCCACTATTCCCATCTATAGTTTATGAATTCTAATCTTCTATGGACAAAGACAACATAGAAGATTAGAAACTGAATTCATCTTTATTTCCCCCATGCTCCTCCAAAATTTGTTCCACTTCCTACATTCTTTATGCCCAAGGTTAAACACCATTATACCCAGCTCTAAATTTTGGAATCATAGGTGACTCTCCTCCCCTTCCAGTATTCTCTAACCTCTTCCAATCAGTTGCCAAGTACTGCTGTTTCTCACTTAACAGTCTCCCATTTGCCTCCTTTCCCCCTATCTTCACTGCCCATGCTCTGGTTTGCATCTTTTTCATCTTTCACTTGAATTGGCACAACAGCCCCTTACTGGTCTCCATTTTTTTTTTTCTTTCTTCATTCCTCAACCCATTACCCAAATGCTGCCAGTATACCCTTCCTAAAGGACATATCAAAAAATAGGTAAAGCACTGAATACATCCCTTTACACACTTCTTTAACTCTCACAATCGACCTACAAGAGTGATATTATCCATTTTATAGACAAGGAACCAAGGGTTCTGAGAGATTATGAGACCTGTCCAAGGATATACAGTTAAAAGACAGTGGCGCCAGATTAAACCCAGATCTGTGTAGTTCCAACGCCCATGCTAAACTGTATCCTGTCATCTCTTGCCTAAATATCCCTACTCACACTCCCCTATCCCATCTTTCCCTTCACCCGAAAAAATTCATCTTGTTCTCCAAAATTCACCTCAACATTTTGCAATAGAAAGCTTTCCAATTCCCCCTCCCCAAGGCTACATTTCCACAATATTGGTGTTTACCTTTATCATAGATCTGGCTTCAATGCAATTCTTTATTCATGTCTGTTTCCTCTTTGAGGCTATCTGCTCCTTTAGAGTAACAATCATCTTTTTCATGTCCACAACCCAGTACATAGCCAAGTGTGCACTACTTAGGTGTTCAACATATGTGAATGAATTAGCTAAATTTTAAACAACTAGATATAGACAAGAGTGTATATCCTTTACATATACTAAAACACCCAGCAATGCTTCCTCATAATAGCTAAAATAATTGTTTGAACGACCGAATTAACATCTGTACAGATTCCCTCATGCACACCTACATAGATGAAGAGAGGGGTGAAATAAGTATATCTGATTTACTGCTTTAACCCATTGGCACCTTGAATTTGAGCAAATAACGGATAATAGAATAGTGAGGGGTAATTACGAAAGCCTGATGGTATAACTAATTCCAAGGAACATCAAGTCTCCAAATATCCACTGGTGTCTCTGAGGCATGATGCTGGGAAGACAGATCATCAGTTTGACTTACAACAGAATTACACATACGTACTTATTCAGGGGACATTAAATTTTTCTTCCTCTGGTGTCTAACAAAAATGAGTCCCCAAAAACTCTTTAGAACATGCCTTCAAGACAGGATATGACTCCCATTTTATTGATAAGAAAACTGATATTACATAGACAGACTAAAAATACATAGCAGTGCAGTCGGTGAAAATAATAAAACAGAGGTCTGCTAACCAACAAACAGGGACTCTCACTTACTCCTCTCATTTCTCTCTTCTGTTTCCTATGTTCTGGGGAAGCCTGGGTATGACAGCCACGTCTTCCTTTCATTCACTCAACAAAAAGCATTTAATGTTGACCAACTCTGAGACAGGAAAGGCCTAGGCCCTGGAGCTACTGAGACACAGCCTTAGCCCTCCATATACTTAGTGAAGTGCAGTCAACATCTGAGTTCTGACCTTTGGCATCTCCACACTTTTTTTGGTGTTCCCTTGTCTGAAGCACCTGCATCTTTCTCTGGCCATTTTACTAAAGTAACTGGAGGCTGACTCGTAGCTCATTAACTTTAGGACTCACTGAGGGAACCTGGGCACTCAAGAGTTCACCCATCTCCTCTACCACAACTTTCTGTTCTCACCCTGCTCTCACCACAGTACCGTCATCCCCGCGGAGGAGTTTTCGAGCACCAAAGGTGCCACCCATGCAAACGAACTCCCCTCCCAGAGATAAATCTGTCAACCCCTGCCGTCCTCTCGCTCTTTAGCCCCACAACTTTCACTACCGGGCCCCCTCTCCGCCACAGTGCGAAGAACAGCCAGACTACGACCAGGGGACGGGCGCGCGCCAGGAACGGGCGTGCGGACGCCGGGAGGGGAAACGTGCGCGTGCCGGGAGGGCCTAGCCCTGCGCCTGCACTGACCAGGCACGGATTAGCAATCGCTGGCCGCCAGGCGTTCAGAGAGTCTGTCCGCCGCGGCTTCCGCTACAGGCGGCCTCGCACCTTCTGGGTCAGTACGCGGGACTGACGTAGCCTCTCCTCGGCGCTCATCGCCCGCAGACGCTGCTTCAGCTCTCCTCGCAGGCTCCGCTTGGCGCTGCTCACCGCTGCCGCCGCCATCTCACGCCCAAGCCCAGTCCAATCCCACCCTCGGCGCCCTGGGGTTTGGTCTCCGCCCCTGGCCGCTCCCAGGTGGATCCGCGGCCTAGGGGCGGGTCGGGACTCGGGGAAGCGCCCCCACCCCGCTTCCGGGACGCGGGCCCTCGGCGTGCCGCGCGCTTGCCTGGCCTCCGGCCATTGGGAGCCAGCCCTCGTGCGGCCGCCGGTGGTCCGGCCCGCCCTCCCTGGCTACCGGGAGCTCTGGCGAGGCGCCGTCGCTGCCCTGCCGCCTGACCTCCCTGAGCCCGAGCCCTCACCCGAACCGCGGAGGCGGCAGCGCCACTGGCGGGGATGGTAAAGACGGCCGGCAGTACCCACGGTGCCTGGCATCTCGTGTACTGTTGAGTACTGGGACTTCAGGGGCCAGAAGGGCAAGGCAGGATAAGTAGCGAAATCGTCACGAGTCGCTTAACTCCAGGGATATGTCTGACAGATGCCCCGATTTCCTTCTGGTGCAAACATAAAGAGTGTAGTTACAAAGTTACTACACACCTATGCTACACACCTGTACAGCGTATTTTGTACCAAATACTGTAGGCAATTGTAGCACCATGATACTTGTGCATCTAAACACAGAAAAGGTAATGTGTTGGTTGGCTACCACATCAGTAGGTATTAGGAATTTTTCAGTTCCATTATAATCTTAAGAGACCACAGTGGTTGATGGAAATGTCCTTATGTGATGAATGTATAGATGATACATAGTCGGGAATATTGTTAAAGCAGTAACTGTAGTGTAAAAGCCAAATTTTGTGGATTCTAGTGTGAATGTATTCCAGGTCATAGTGCCCATGTAGGTACTTCCTGTTATAACCATCAGTGACTGTTCATTCCCACCACTCAGCTCTGATTAAAACACAAAAATGAATTAAAACTGAAAGCAGTTTAGGGGGTGGGTGAGGCACTCGCAGGAAGAGGTAAAAGAAACTGTGAAGTCTTGAACTGCTCCCAGTAGACAGGCGCCTCAGATTGCCTCTCAGATGTGACTTCCTAAAACCAGAGCTGCCTCTTCCAAAACTACTTCCCTACTGACAGCCCCAGTGTCCTAATCCCCACCGTTAAGAATCACACCTCCTAAGTAAAGCATAAAAGTGCCCGGCGAGAATGCACATGGCTTGAGAGGGGAGATCTGGCTTCTTTATGGAATCCATCAACAGCTTCCGGGGAAAGGTAATGCAAGTCCCAGGGGGATTGTGTTGTAAGAAGAAGGGAAGGCCAGGCAGATATAGCGTATACATATTGCAATCAGATTTGCTGACCTAAAAATTAGAACACGAGGTCTAACAAACTACATAATTTTCTAATCTGTTCATTTTTACCAAAAAAAAAAAAAAAAAAATTAGCATTAGCTCCACGTTGAATCACTTACCTAATTTTCTTTGTTCAGAATATCGCAGAGTATCCTGCATACCAGGTTGCCATATCCATCAACCCCAAATGGCAAGCCAGAGAGAGAAGGCTGGGAAGGAGGCATCAGTGGAAACTCTAAGCAGCCAGGGGCACTGGAAACTGCAGACAGCATGGGAAAGAAGGAAGGAAGGAGGGAAGAGGGAAGGCGACCTGAGTCTGCTTCTAGCCTGAGTCTGCTTCTCAGTCTAGTCTGCAGTCTAGCCTAGTGACACGGAGGACTTTTGGGTAATGGGCACACCTTAAAAGTCTGCAGAAAAGATACCCCCTTCCTAATCATCATCCCATAATTAATTGCCTGGCTCCTGTGTTGAGCTTTACCCTTTGGCTGAATTTCCAGGCAGACTCCAAAAATGAAGACAAAAATGGCATATAGAGAAAATTACATACAATTTATTTATTAAATAGGGATAAAATTTCTGTAACTCTAGAAGGTCAAGTTACATCATCAAAGCTGTTTATTTAAAAGTAGAAGTATGTGTTGGCAATCGTTTTCTTAAGAGTCAGAAAAATTAGGCCGGTTTCACAATATGGAGTGTCCTTTCTGGTCAACAGTATTGCTTCAGAAGAGATAGCGTTTCACAGATCTTTCCTGTAACTTCTAGAAAAGTCATCCAGCCAGATTTAGGCTCAAGCTTCTTTACAAAGCCATTTTCCTGAGAGAATAAATTTAACATTTTAAAAAATCACTGGAGATTATGCTGGAATAAAAAGCAAAAATATTTTCATTTAAATAATGCAAATAGTTAATCTTCTACCCCTTCTGTCCCTCTAAAGGAAGCATTGTGTAACAGAAACACAGTGTGACCTACATCTGTAATTTTAATTTTTGGTAGCCACATTTTAAAAAGTATAAAAATCGGAAAAATTAATTTTTAAGATATATTTAGTGATGATTTCAATATGTAATCAATGTCAAATCACTAATGAGATATTCTTTTTTTTTATAACAAACCTTCAAAATCTCATGAGTATTTAGTACTTACAGCACATTTTAATTCAGACTAGCCACATTTCACTACCATAGTGGACAGCAAGCACAGCTCTAGAGGATAAAAAGTATTTTGTTGTTCTCGTTCTTATTTAATTGTCCATTGATTTCAATGCACTTATATTTGTAATATGAATTCTATTATACAGTAAACTGCATTGTATTGAAACTCATGAGAACTCACAGTAAATCCAAATTAAACCAATACCTTTGAAGCTATGAAAAGGTTGATGGTTTCTTTTATAATCTACTCTCTTTGTGATTGGACATAGTTTTAAAAATGTAGGATAACCCAATTAACTGGACATTTTATTTATCATCTATAATCATAAAATCCTCACTGAAAAGTACCTCTGAGATCATCTAGCCTAATGCCCTCTCTTAACAAATGAGGAAAGTGAGGCCCACAAAAAAAATAAGTTATCTAAGATTAGGTAACCCTTTGGTGCCTGGATCTGGATTAGAATGCAAACACCCTACTTCTTTCCACTCCATTCATTTCCAAACAAGTGCAAAAATACTCAAAAATTGTTAAAATAATTTTTTTCAAATATTCATTTAGCAAACATTTGTGTCTGCATCTTATAGGTTCCAGAACCTAGGGTTACAAATGCCTGCAAGTAGCTCAGAGCATAGTGTAACTTAATATTGAAACATAAACCAAGCATAACCCTTTGATAGTTGGGAGAGATTTGAGAGCTCTGTGGTGCCTTGGAATCATTTTATAAGCATCACTGGCAAAGCACATGAATACCACCAGCCAGGGGGATTTCATTTGAAAGATTGCCTAAGAAAGCCATTTTCTGCCTACATGTTAAGTGTGCATTGTGCTCTGAGACATGCTGTCATGCCTTGAGAGAGGAAGGAAACTGCCCCTCTCTCTTCTTCCTCTTTCCCTCTTGCCAGTCCATACTCATAGATTACACTCTAAGGAGGTATCCACTTCATTATGCTCCTTCCTAAACCCCATGTTTCACAAGTATGATGAGGCCCTCTGAAATGATTTTTATTATGATGATAATCATTGTCTACTATCATTGAGCAGTTAACATGTCATATACATCAATGTCTAAAGAAAGGACAGTGTACAAAGAAAATATTGATGAATTCAGCCAGATGAAGATTAAAAAATTTTTTTAACTATGAAAAACTAAAAAAACAATACAGTAGGAAAATATTTACATATACCATGAAAGTGTTCATTCAAATGTGAGAGAAAATTTTCAGGCCCTTAATAGTTTAAAAAGGACAGACCATTAAAGACAGAAATATAAATCATTCACAAGTATATGCGAAAAACATTAATAGTAGTTAAAGAAATGTACATTTTAACAAAGTCTTATTGTTTTTTAGACCTACTAAACTGGCTTTATTTGATGCCTATTAAACCCTCAAAATTATTAATAGTACCATCCACACTGATAAGGTTGCTATGACATTGTTCTATTGATATAATGCTTTTGGAAAGAAAATATGTTTCCCAGTATGCTAGAATATTGTAATTCTACACACATCTTATGAACCGGTTATTGCACTGTTAGAAATTTATCATGAGGCAGTCTTCTAAAATATTGGAGGGTAGGGGGCACCAGAAAAGCATACCCATGCTTCACTATTGAAGTATTATATCTAAAAGGGGAAAACTCTGGGCGAAGTGGCTCAGAACTATAATCCCAGCACTTTGGGAGGCTGAGGTAGGGAGATCACTTGAGGTCAGGAGTTTGAGACCAGCCTGGCCAACGTGGTGAAAGTCTGTCTCTACTAAAAATATAAAAATTAGCTGGGCGTGGTGGTACATGCCTGTAATCCCAGCTACTGAGGAGGCTGAGGCAGGAGAATTGCTTGAACCTGGGAGGTGAAGGTTGCAGTGAGCCAAGATCAAGCCACTGCACTACAGCCTGGGTGATAGAGTAAAACTCCGTCTCAAAAAATTAATAAATAAAAGGGGAAAAATCAAAACCAAATTGTCTAACAATTGGGAATTAGTTAAGTAAATTATGATATGACAAATTAATGAAATAGTCTGTAGACATTAGAAATTAATGCCTAATGTTAACATGGAGTGAGACAGCGTTGAAAATATTTATATGTCACACCAAAAAACTCTTATGTACACCCTAATTATTGCATACAATGTCTGCATGTGGGTATGTTAGGGTGATGGGAGTGACTTTTCTTCCTTTCAAAAATGTTATTTTCAAATGTATTTTCTTTAATGATGCTATTTGTATCTCAAGACCATTATATGAAAATAAATATACAAATAAGGATTCAATATCCTATCAGTAATGTAGTAGTAAATAAGAATTGTTCAGGCTTTATTATTTCTGGGAATAGTGATAGTTTGTTAAATTCAGCTACCTTGGTTTCAACAAAACCTAAAGCATAAAATAATATACCGTATTGGTAATCCAAAGAAAATCAGAACCTCATAATTTTTAAAGATACAGGCAGCCAGGCACAGTGGCTCATGCCTATAATCCTAGCACTTTGGGAGGCTGGAGTGGTAGGATTGCTTGAGCATGGTAAGTCAAGGCTGCAGTGGGCCTTGATCACACCACTGCACTCCAGCCTGGGTGGCAGAGCAAGACTTTGTATGAAAAAAAAAACAGGCAAATATCATGCTTTCTCACTTCTCTAAAGACTATCCCTTTGTTCACTCAGGAAATAGTCATTGAGCATTGGCCACATGCCAGAACCAGTTAAAGTGCTGGAAACACAGTGGTGAAGAAAGCATACAGGATCTCTGTCCTCACTAAGCTTATGTTCTCATGGCAGACACAGACGATAAACAGATAAGCAAATAAATATGCAATGGGATGTCCAGTCATGAAAACTATTATGAAGGCAATAAAGTAGGGTAGGGAGACAGAGAGTGACAGTGGTACTTTCTTAGATGGGGTGATCAAGGAAGACTTCTCTGAGGAGAAGAATTCCTCGGAAGGGACACCTGAACAAAAAGAAGAGGGAAGGCAGGCAAACTTCAGGCAGAAAATTATTCCAGGCAGAGGCAACAGCAAGTGCAAAGGCCTGGAGGATGGAGTGTGCTTAGCTTATCCAAGGAGGCTGGAACTGTGAGAACACAGAGGAATTCGTAGAAAATGAGATTTGAGAGACAGGTAGAGGCCAGGTTATAAAGGGCTTTGGGTAACTCATACTCAGGATGTTGTACTTTTGTTCCCAGGGTGAAGGGGCACCTTGGAGAGTTCTGATTCAGCCAAGATCCGATCTAATTCAAGTTTGTAACATCACTGTGGGTACTATGTGGAGAACAAATTATAGCAGATAAAGGATGGAACCATGGAGTCTGGCAGGAGGCTACTGACAGAGTCAAGTGAGAGAGGAAGGTGGCCTAGATGCACAGGGGATTACAGCATTTCAAGGGGCAGCCAGGGGGATTTGCTGATGGATGGATGTGGGCTATGAGAGACAGGAGTCCAGGCTGACTCCCAAGGTTAGAGAACTAGCACTTAAGAGAGCTTGACTGAGGGGCCCCAGAGAGGTGCTTTTCTCTAACTCCTGTGTCAGTATCATACATTTCCGCCTGACTTGAGGGTCATTTATTTTTCACTAAATGATTTTAAAATCTCAAGTAAAAATTCAAAAGAAACAGAAAAATTTTGCCCCAAAACTTATTTAATAAAAGGATATATATGAATACTTGGGATTATATCACCTTGCTGCTAGATCTTTATATGTTTGGAAATGCCTTTGCCAAACTGAATGCTTAGTCAATTATCTGTACGTCTCTGTGTGCCCATTTATTTGGCCTCAAATTAACCAGACTATTATTTAGGGTAAGAAGACAACAAAGAAAATAGAAACCTCTTGGCCTAACTCTATGACCCAAGCTTTAAAATGGTGGTTACTTGGAAAGCACCAGCTCTGACTGTACATCCTACTTTCAGAAGGGCAAAGAATTACCTATCTAAACTTCCTGGAATTTCCCATATAACCCTCATAGTTGCATAGTATTTGACAGTTTGCAAAGCACTTTAAAAAAATGTTTTATAAGCCTTTAACTTTCCATTAAAGATAGGTATTACTGTTTTCATTAAATATTATATATAATCATATGTCATATCATATTATTATATACATTATATAAGGAATCTGAGTCTCAGAGTACCTCAGTAACTTACCCAAGGTTATACTTCTAGTGAGGGAGAAAACCAGAGTTCAAATCTCCAGTTTCAGTGTTGCTTCACTGAATCATTCCATCAGCAAATACTTGTTGTTACCTTCTATGCAACAGGTCCTAGGCATGAGGTACACAGTGATGCATTAAGTAGACATGATTTCTCCCATGTGGAGCTGAGTGCCAAACATTCTTTCTACTCCCCCAGCATATGCAGAGGAGAATGCTTCATTGAAGGCAGAGGAAGTAAGAAGAGCCACTGGTTCAAAAGGAAGGGTGATCCCAAGGGAAGAGACATGAGTTTCATCTCAGGATCATTCTAATGGTTTTTAAGAACCATCCTTTCCTCATGAATGCTGAAGGCAGCCAAATGGCACTAGCTCTCCTCTCAGATCTTGTGAGAGCACATCCTTTCTCAGCACTTCAAATTAGGAGAGGGGACAGGAGGAAATCATGGTAAATGTGGAAGAGGAGAAAAAGAGAGATGAGAAGCCACAAAAAAAGAGGGCAGAAAGGCAGGCAGGCAAGAAAGACAAGCTGATAAAAAGGAGAAAGAGAATAAGGAAAGAGATTATGAGTCCTATTACTGATAGACCAGTCTTGTTTCTCCCCATTAGGGAATCTGTTTTACATGGTAACTAGTATCTAACTGTATTTGATCATATAATTTATGGAAACGAAATAATAGATTCTCTCAATGGAAGCTAGGTAATACTACTGTTACTAACAACAACAACCCTAAACTTGTATTGAGTACTCATTTTCAGGAATTGTTCCAAGTGCTTTATTTACATTAACTGATTTGATCCTTATACAAGTCCCAGGAGATAGGCTGCAATATTTTCCTGTTTTTACAGATGAGGAACCAAGGCTTAGGGAAGTTAAGAAACTTGTGTAAGTCCGAGGTCAGGAGATTGAGACCATCCTGGCTAACACAGTGAAACCCCATCTCTACTAAAAATACAAAAAACTAGCCGGGCGTGGTGGCGGGTGCCTGTAGTCCCAGCTACTCGGGAGGCTGAGGCCGGAGAATGGCGTAAACCCGGGAGGCGGAGCTTGCAGTGAGCTGAGATCCGGCCACTGCACCCCAGCCTGGGTGACAGAGCAAAGACTCCGTCTCAAAAAAAAAAAGAAAAGAAGGTAACAGTTTTCCATGCCAGTTTGTACTGATCCAAAAAAGCACTGCCTTTCCTTAAGAAGATGAATGTCTCATCTGAGCTGGAAAAGGAGCACATAGATTGCTTTGAAGTGACATCTTCAAGAGTATTTATTTCATGTCTACAACCTGAACTATTCAGGTGGTTTTTTTTTAAAAAAATCACATAGATTGCTTTGAAGTGACATCTTCAAGAGTATTTATTTCATGTCTACAACCTGAACTATTCAGGTGGTTTTTTTTTTAAAAAAAAAAAAAAAAAAAAAAAAAGAGAGAGAGAGAGAGCTTGGAAACTTTAGAAAGGCTGAGTGTGTGCATGTGCAGGCAATGTGTGTATTTGTATCTACACTTGGGAGAGGTTCATCCCGCCACACTCATGTTTACATCTGTACCACCCTCGAAAGATGAGGGTACTGCTAGAAATTCTCAGAGACAATTCCACACCCTTTGCTAACAATGAGTTCCAGGAGCTCACAAAATTTACTGTGGAGAAGTTAAATTTTTAAGTAATATTTATTCACTGTCTGTGTGTTCCAAGTACTAAGCTAGGCATTGGGAATACAATCCAAACCCACATAGAGCCTGCAAACTAGTAGAGTATTTCTCCGCAGGCTCATCTGTGGTCCTCTGTGCTAGAGAACGTTTGCCTTCACCTGAAATCTACACAGTGCTGCTGAAATTTCCACCAGTCCTCAAGTATAGCCTCCCACAGCCAACCAGAAGCAAACATGACAAAACATTTCGCATGCTTCGCCCAGCCTCAGTCAGGCTGAGTTAGAAAGAACTAAGTTCCAGGAAGAAGGTGACTGAGAAAGGGGAGTAGCTGCAGTAAGCTCTATCATGCAGGAAGGCCTTAAACAAAACGAAAAAGGCATCAAGTAAAAGATCAATAAATTTGATCGCAACAAATTTTTAAACAGTTATAATGACTGAAGACATTGTCAGCTTTAAAGAATAATCAGCAGGCCGGGCGCGGTGGCTCACGCCTGTAATCTCAGCATTTTGGAAAGGTGAGAGGGGTGGATCATGAGGTCAGGAGATCGAGATCATCCTGGCTAACACGGTGAAACCCTGTCTCTACTAAAAATACAAAAAATTAGCCAGGCATGATGACGGGTGCCTGTAGTCCCAGCTACTTGGGAGGCTGAGGCAGGAGAACGCTGTGAATCCGGGAGAAGGAACTTGCAGTGAGCTGAGATCGCGCCACTGCACTCCAGCTGGGGGGACAGAGCGAGACTCCATCTCAAAAAATAATAAAAAAAAGGAGGTAATCAGCAAACTAAAGTTAACTGCCACATATATAAAAATAATTTGTATCCAGAATATTCAAAGAATTCCTACAAATCAATAAGAGACCAAATAATAGGAAAATGGGAAAAGGCTGTAAACAGGCAATTCCCTGCATAAGATTTACAAATGATCAGTTAATATACGAAAAGATGCTCAAATGGAAAAAATATTTAACCTGACTGGGAATCAAGGAAACAAGAATTAAAACAAGATAAACTCTGTAGTTTTTTAGCCCAACAAATTAAGGAAATTATAACAGATTGCTACAAACTAACCTTAGTCAGCAGGGTGGGGAAAAATGGATACTATAACAAGCTGCTGATGGGAGTGAAGCTTGGTGGAGCCACTTTGGAAGGCAAGGACCTAGTAAATTTAAAAATGTACGCCACCATGACCCAGCATCTACAACCCAACATCCACCCTGGAAAACTACACGCACGCACGAGGAAAAATGATATTCAATAAAGCATTGTGTGTGATAACAAACTTGAAATAACCTAAACAGCTATCAGCTACAAATGGCCACTCTACAGCATTTACATACAATAGAATATACATAGCACTCTTAATAATACTATTTTAAATAACTTTGGATAAAAAAATTTGCAGAAGTACTACCATGTACTGTTTTTACATATATCCATGTAAATATATATATGCAAAATCTTTATGTATATATAAAATACATAAACATGCATATACATATATATATGCTTACATAAAATATTTTACATAAAACATTTACAAAAACTTTTTTTACAAAGAGGTATTATGTTAGCCCGGCCAACATGGTGAAACCCCATCTCTTCTAAAAATAAACACCAAAAAAATTAGCCAGGCATGGTGGCAGTCACCTATATTCCCAGCTGCTCTAGACGCTGAGGCAGGAGACTCACCTGAACCTGGGAGACAGAGGTTGCAGTGAGCCGAGATTGTGCTGTTGCACTCCAGTCTGGGCGACAGAGTGAAACTGTATTAAAAATAAATAAATAAATAAGAAAGAAAGAAAGAAGAACTTACATTACCAAAGCCATAAAACCTACATTCTTTTACAAGTTCATTTTTGCTACTAAAAACTAGTGCACAGGAGTCACATACAATGTACTTTGGCTAGTACAGATAATTACTACAAGAAACAGCGTATTATGGTAACACAAACCATTTACATTAAGACATTACTTAATTCTGCTATTTACTGCCAAAATTGTCTTTTTCAAATATCATGCCAAAATTATATGAATTTATATAGTTGTAGACATGTTCCTAGCAGAAGGGCAGGGAGGCAGGGGTCTGGGTAAGGGGAAGGAGAAGGCAAGTAGCCCTTTTGGGCTACCAGGACATCAGGACCAGGTTCCCTGAGCAATTTGGCACAGGGATTTGAATGCAGGGTAGCCTCAAAGATGGGACAGAGGAGCAGTAGCAACATTAGCCATCCAAAAGGTTCACAGGATGTGAGCAATACTGCTTTAGGTTCCTTATCTGATATTCCTAAAAAACAAAGTTGCTGTTGTTTTTCACAAAAACAGACTACATAGTTTATTTGGGTAGATATGATAAACGTTTTAATAGTTACACTTGTGCAATTTCATTTTCTAAATGTAAAGTTAGGCTGGACGCAGTGGCTCACGTCTGTAATCCCAGCACTTTAGGAGGCCAAGGCAGACGGATCACCTAAGGTCATGAGTTCGAGACCAGACTGGCCAACATGGTGAAACCCTATCTCTACTAAAAATACAAAAATTAGCCGGACATGGTGGCAGGCCCCCGTAATCCCAGCTACTTAGGAGGCTTAGGCAGCAGAATCACTTGAACCTGGGAGGTGGAGGTTGTGAGCCGAGATCAGGCCACTGCACTCCAGTCTGAGCGATAGAGTGAGACTCCATCTGTAAATAAATAAATAAATAAATAAATAAATAAATAAATGAAAAGTTAAGAATAAGAGGCATTCTAAACCACTTTTGGTCATGGATGCTATCCAAGAAATTTTTTTTGTACAATTAAATTGTTAAATTTAAAACAAGTATAATAGATCATAAAATCATATCAGCTGTCTTGGATTCCAATTCCATCAAAAATGCATATCTAAACTTATTGAAACCAAAATTTCTCCATCTGTGACGTATAATCTTACTAGCACTAAGTAACAAGGAAAACGTCAATGGCTTGTAATGTATCAGGTTATATTGTGATCCCTACATGACCATGGGGTAATGAAACTGACAAATTTTATCAGTAGAATTTTTTAAATTATAAAAGCAGTTCATGTTCATATGAGAAAACTTAGAAATCACAAAAAGTACAAGGAAGAAGTTTAAAACAAAGTGCTTCTGTAATCCTACGAAACAGAGCCATGCCAGTATTTTGGTTAATTTTAAAACTGATTTTTAAAATCAGACACTAGATCTGGACAGTATTTTCTTCTTTAATTCATCATGGGAAAGTACCAATTCAATACTGCCATTATTCAGAATCTGTGTGAAATACCTGATCTGTAACTGGCATAAAGGTCATGTAAGAAATTTGGTCTCATCAGTTTATAGCTTCACCTCATTTTAACCTAAATCACTGACAGATTGATTTCATTTAAATTAGTATAACTGAAGTCTTACTATACTGTGGTTCTGTTCAGAAACATAAAGATGAATATAGTACTGTCCTCCTGCTTAAATTGCTCACAATCTAGACTACACAGACCAAAGCACAAGGTGGCTGTGTTAAATATACTCTAAGAAAGGAAATAGAAACAGTGATAATGTATCCAGAGTTGGTTCCTTCCAGTGGGTTGTTGGTCTCCCTGACTTCAAGAATGAAGCTGCAGACCTTTTCAGTGAATGTCACATCTCTTAAAGATGGCACAGACCCAGACAGTGAGCAGCAGCAAGATTTATTGTGAAGAGCGGAAGAACAGGCCGGGCGCAGTGGCTCAGGCCTGTAATCCCAGCACTTTGGGAGGCTGAGGCGGGTGGATCACCTGAGGTCGGGAGTTCGAGACCAGCCTGACCAACATGGAGAAACCCCGTCTCTACTAAAAATACAAAATTAGCTGGGCGTGGTGGCGCATGCCTACAATCCCAGCTACTAGGGAGGCTGAGGCAGGAGAATTGCTTGAGCCTGGGAGGCGGAGGTTGTGGTGAGCCGAGATCATGCCATTGCACTCCAGCCTGGGCAACAAGAGTGAAACTCCGCCTCAAAAAAAAAAAAAAAAAAAAAAAAGAAGAGCAGAAGAACAAGGCTTCCAAGCAGATTGCCTCTGCTGGCTGGGGTAGCCAGCTTTTATTCCCTTATTGGTCCCCGCCCATGTCCTGCTGTTTGGTTCATTTTACAGAGCACTGATTAGTCCATTTTACAGAGTGCTGATTGGTGCATTTACAATCCTTTGGCTAGACACAGAGCACTGATTGGTGCGTTTAAAATCCTCTAGCAAGACAGAAAAGTTCTCCAGGTCCCCACTCGACCCAGGAAGTCCAGCTGGCTTCACCTCTCAATGGGTTAACATTAAAGAGG